TTACTGATCTTAAGAGGACTGAGTTGGGTCATTAATGGGATGGCATATAAATTTTGGGCATAGTTGGTTACTTCTGCAGGAATCCGTGGGCAAGCTTGTGCTGTTGTCTGGATGCCATCTCTTCTGTATCATAGATGTTTTCATTTTAATCCTGATTATATACTCTTCAAATATTCCACATTTTCAATGCAGGTGTATCATTTGAATATCATTCTGAAATAAAAGAATGCATTGTCTGCATTCACCTCAGAGGGATTTAAATAAAGAAGAGCACAAATACCATTGAGGTGCTCCGTATTCTTGGTGATTATCTGGACATCCATGGAATTTCCTAGCCACAATATGGAAGTGGTTTGCTATTTTCTTATTTTCGGGGTGGCTTCTTTCACTACCCAGCCTAGCCTAATCAGGGGCTTCAGTGGGTCCAATCCAAATACTAAATGACCTCCAATCCTGCTTAGTTTTGTGGGATCAAACAAACCAACTTGACCCCCATGCTCAATCTCAGAGGACTTTATAACAATAAGTGGACTTTAAAAATATATTTTGGTTTTTCCTTGCTACTATATTCATGTGTCTGTGTTTATACCTTTATGGCAACCAGTCATGCTATTTTGCCGGAACTGAACTCACTTCACTGTGGGAATAGATTTTATTCAGGCCTGCTTGTCATCTCTCATGAAGCCTCACAATTGCTCTCCAGGCAATGGAGTGAGGAATAGAGTCAATGGAGACAATTGAGCTGGACTTTCATGCATTGAAGGGTTTTTAAAATTGGTATCTATTATTGGGAGTTGATGGCAAAAACATCTGATGCCATGAAAAATTTGAAACATTTAAATTTAAATTTGCTCACATTATGCTAAATAATAATTTGGCTAATCATGGTTTGTGGAATAAAAAACTATGAATAAACCAACTGGGTGGACAGCCCAGTTTGCCTAACCACGGTTTGCTGTACAAAGCTAATCAAAGTGGCCAGTTTCATACATTGTTCTAAAGTTTACTCATTGTTCTAAAGCACCTAAAGTTATTCCAATGGTAATGTTTGGAATCACAGGACACAAAATGTCAAAGGGAAACAAACTGTATTATGCCTTAGCAGGTCAATAGGGTCCCAGTTAGTTTACCACACAAAGCAAGTTTAACCAACTGAAATATGCAGATCAAAATCTGTGGAAAAGTCACAGGAGAGTTAAATCAATCATAGGTTTCTTCAAAGATACTTTAGATAATGATTAACTGCAGATTAAACATACAGTAGTTCAATATTTAGAGAAAGTCATTCACAAAGATATTATAACTGATTGCTTTATTGATACTGTATGAATGAAAAGTACAATAGGTGCAGAATCCGGGCAAATTGAGTGCACACAAGTGAAGTATTTCAAGATACATCAATTCCCATCTCCCCCCCCTTCCCCACACCCTCCCCACAATATAAAACTTAAGCAGACAATAATACATACAATGAGACACAAAAAAAACCTAAAAAAACAAAACAAGTATAATTCTTCCCTTCATTTAGTGCAGAGGCAGCAAGGTCCATCACCAAAAAGACTGAGCCTTTGCAAATGAAATGGATGAAGTAAAACAGTGGGACCAGTTAGGGGAACTGTGTTCTTTCCCTCAAGTGTGCTGGCTTTGCACCAGGGGGTTGAAGAAAACAGGCCAGTTATGTGTTCCAGTAATGTTTCATTTTTAAGTGGATTTTCCCCATCATGCAAGAAGAAAATAACCAACAACATTTTTATGTAAACTATAATTGCCCCTAGAATCAGTTATGTTGTTATGATAAAGATGTTCTTACAGGTAACTCCTAACAGACTGAGCTGGGTTCCTTTTCTCTAGGATGTCCATGTTAAGTATCTCAATTACAACCCCAGCCTCGTCATATTTTGATTCCTCCAACAGAAAGCTAGAAGACATCCTCACCTGTCCTACCACTCAAACATTGCATTCCTTAGTACAGATTTTACAATCTCTTCAGCCAGCTTGAACAACTTTCAACTCAGTATTTCCAAGGCACATAGGTGATTTGAATGTTCCCTTTGGTGTAGTTGCATATCTTGTGAAGGAGAACACATCTTTCTCTGATAGCAATATTGTTATTATTATTTTTGCTTAAATAATAGGCAGTCCAACTTGTTTGAACAGTTAGTCTGTTTAACAGGGCTTGTTCCAATGCAAAAGCATAGGACCAAAGCCTTACAAGAGTGCCTGTAGCTGGAAGTTCAGCAAGCAAGCAAGATGCTGTCCAACATGCAGCTTTTTCTTCTGTTCAAGCCTCCTTGCTCAGATTTAGTCACTAGGAATAAATCTGACATGCCTTTGGGGAGAAGATATTATCAAAGCATCCTTAAAAGCTAGGCATCTGACACTAAGGTACCTAAGTACACAAAGTGATGGAAAGAAGCTATCTTGAAGTACAGTCTTCTAGAACTAGCTTCCAAGATGTGGAAGTGCCAAAACTGTATGCATACAGAGTCTTCCTGCTAACTGTGAAGATATTCCCCAATTGACAAGCTCTCAGTGGTAAGTTTTAAGAGCACCCTATTCACTAACACCCTATAAACCCAAAGCCAGCATGCCATTGCTTTGCTATATAAGGATAACTCTCTTAAGAATTATCCAAAAAAAACCCAAAAAAAACAGAGCCCAGATTATACAGAAATTCCCTTTTCTCTTTCATCGCTATTATCCCTTGAAACAAAAGCAGTTCTCCCTGTTCCATTCTTCTGATATATTAAATATAGGGGTGGGGTGGGAGAATACAATGAAAAAACATTTATACACCTGTGTGAACATTTTACGCATAAAAGTGGGCTCGTTTTGTTAAAAAAAACAACCCTCATTTGCGAACAAAACTTTTTAAGAATTTAAATTCTTTTGCTCCCTCCTTCCACTTACTTTTGAATTAAAGTAATTATTTTCTGTTTCATACTTAAGGGAACTACTGTTGATTTTTTACAGGGCCGTGCCAAGGCCTCGTGGCTCAAGATTGCAAGATAGAAAAAAATTCAAAAATCGATAACGTGTGTAAAAAAGCCCCCAAACCCTACGTTTAAAAAGGAAAAGAATACAATTCAAGTATAATCTTTAGGTTCTTTAAATGCGCATATATATATATATATAAATATATATAAAGCAAAGCCAGTACAGAATGAGTTAGATGTCCCTTTTTTTCTAAGCAACTGGGTATACAAAATAGGATTACTGGGCTCTCCCTTCATGAATCTAAGATTAAAACAGTTCTGATATTTTTATAAAACCACCAGTTTGCACATTGCTCAAATCAAGGAATGAGCTTTAACCAACTGCACTGCTAGTTTTCTATAATGCATTCAGCTTGAGGTTCTTCTTTTACACCTCAAGAATGAGGAGGCAGAATGGCTATGCCTCCCTTAAGAGCCAAAAAGGCTACTGTTTCTACAAATGCAACTACATACCTCCTCTTTCTCCTTTCTTGCAAGATCTTTGTGTTTCCCCTTTCCGTCCCCATGACTGGAAGTACATAGTGTGGTTTCTAAGTGGTTCTGTTTAATGCACAAGAGGTCTCTCCAAGAACTTACTCTTTGGAAAAGGAGAAAAAGCAACCAAGTAGGAAGGTTTGTTAACTCAACGACCTATCCTAAGAAGGCAAATCTAGGCATGATGTTTATCTTCTCGGAAGCCCTGAAAGGTATGAATAGTTACGCGTTGACCAGATGCAATGGTGGCTGAGGGAGACAGAACAGAAAATGACCAAACTGCCCAAGAGGAAAGTAGCTCTTGTTCTGCAGAAGCTAAGGTAAACACTTAATAGAGTGAGTAGGTCCATGATGGATTACTTCTCCAATACATGCAAAGGCCTTTGCAGAAGGCATGTTGTAAGAGGATTTGGATAACAGAGACTGAATAAAGTATTTTTAAAAATATATATTTTCACCTAAAAAAATGAATATAGATGTATCTGTGATTCTGCCTGTGTGTGCTATTGTATGTATACATGTGAGTGGCAATTAGCTCTTATGGTCATGACCAAGCTATAGTTCAGAAGAGAAAAAAAAAAAGAACACACTTATCACACTTTCCTAAAACGAAAAGCTAAAAAATTTTCAAGTTCAGTATATTTCGAGATCTTGTCCTTCCCACCCTGCCCTCTTGTAATTTCTGGGTTTGTTTTTCCCCTTCCAACTTACAATAGCACCATTAACAACATTTAAACATTACAATCCCTCTTCAGTTACTAGACACACACAAAATGGTCCCGTTAAAAATAGTGCTTTTCTGCCAAAAAAAAAAAAAAGTTATATATATAATATATATTTCATATAATTCAACTAAATCTGTGGCAAATGTGCAATGCTGACGCCTCCGCCATTAAAGTGAACTTACGTTCACCCAAACTCTTTCACTTCATCGGTGATTTTTCTAAAAGGTGCAAGTACATTTTGAACGGTGTAATTTAAAAAAAAAAAAGGTCGTGGGCCTCATCGTTTCATTTCTAGCTTTTAAAATGTGCAGCCCCCCCCTCAAATATATCAATCGTGACTTATAAAACAAATAAAATGGGGTAAAGGTTAGGCCAACCTTTAAAACTTCAGATTTTGTTTCCCCCTTTTTTTTTTTTACTGTCAGTTGAAATAAGGAATTTGGCCTTCTTTTAATACCATGATCTTCTCTCGCTCTGTCTTCATTGGTTAGTATATGGACTGAAAGGCAAGTCTGTTATTATATAGTTCAAGTGCCTTAGCTGTCCCTGTTAAGTTCAAGCTGAAAATACTGGGTAGGAAAGTACAAAGCCAACCAATAGATTAAAAAAAAATAATTATAAAGACAATGCCACAAAAATGTTGCTGCCACCACTGATGTCATAATCCCACTCATTTGGTGTTCCCGTGCCCCTTTTTCTGTTGTTCCTTGGTGGGAAAGGACATTTGCTCTCCCCTCTCCGCCTTGGTCTGCAAGAGAGAAAAGGCTGGGGCCGGACCTTGAAAACACCTCCCACGAGACTGGGAAAAATAATAATAGTCATTTTTGCAAATAGTTCAGCACAGTTCACTTCTGGCTGCCTGACGTTTCTGAGGTGGTGTGCACAGGCAGAGGTGTCTGTGTCGGCAGGACAACCAATGGGCGATGGTTCTTGGACTCTTCAGATTCCTGCAGTCCTTCAGTTTGCCATCGATACCTGCGGGCCCGGAGGACATTGGGAACCCCTCGCTGAAGGCGCTGTGAGCTCTTCTTCTGCCAAATGTCGTATTTTGAGTACTTGGGATGGGAAGGCTTTTGGAAGATATCCTGAAAGAAACGAGGAGAGAAGAGCAAAGGAGGATCAGTTTATTGCTTGCCATGACAAACCGAAAGGATACGGACTGTCACTGGGCTGTGATGTCACATGGCTAAGCAGACAGAACTGAAACAGCAGAGAATGCATTCCTCTGGGGCAGAGGTAGGTAACCTTGGCTCTTTTATGACTCGTGGACTTCAACTCCCAGAATTCCTGAGCCAGCCATGCTGAGGAGAAAGGGAGAGGTTTCCAAGCTGAGCCATGCTGGCTCAGGAATTCTGGGAGTTGAAGTCCACGAGTCATAAAAAGAGCCAAGGTTGCCTACCCCTGCTTATTTCACCCCTGTAATGACTTTCCTTCAGATCTCCCTTTCTTTATGCCTTTGTCTCCTGAAAAAACTGGGAAAAGTTTTTATACCACGGGTATCCAAGGGCATCTAATAAAATTGGATAGTTTATCCACATTTCATTGTATTGCATTTTTGAGTCAAATTAATTGCGTGCACTATAGCTGTTGAAAGTCGGGCATCATACAAGATTTATAGCTCTTGCTTAGTGACCACAATTGGAACTGGCAACTCTGTTGCTAAGTGATGCAGTTGCTAAATGGAAAATCGTGTGACTGCAACGGGCTTATTTCCCCGTCAGTTGTGACTTGTGGTTTTACTTCCGCCTTCTCTATTACTTCTGCTTGTCACAGATCAGTTGCAAAGCACACAAATGGTGATTTGTGTGACTGCAGGATATTACGGCAGTTGTACATAAGGTGTACTGGCTGTAAAGCACCTGAATAGTGATCATGTGACTATAGGACTCTGCAATGGTCATAAATATAAAGATTGATCGCAAAGCTTTTTTTTTTAGACTGTCGTACCTTTGAACAGTTGCTAAATGGGACATTAAGTAAGTGAGGATTTCAGCTATACTGAAAATCTTACTCATCCGTTTTCCTCATGTGTGTATTGGATTTAAGGTCTCCTTATACAATCAGACTATCTGAAGAGCACCAGCTTGAGGCAGGCTGGTATATATATAACAGTGACCTCATTCTCCATGTAAGGGGTTTAGTTCAGCAAAAGCAGAATGGAGATTGGAAATAGGAGCTATCTTGGCAAAACAGGAAGAACCCAACATTTTGTCATAAAGACAGAAGTAGCAAGGAAAAAGCTAAAAGTAAAAGGAGCATCTCCAGGAGGAGGTCAAAAGGTCAAGATGGTAGCTGTGACTGTGTTATCAAAGCCTGCATATATTCACCAGATGTGCAACGCATGTCAACAAAAAGAGGGAAGGTTTTCGTCACAGTCTCCAACTTGACTTTTCTGATTCTCCTCAGTGGACATCCCTGAAAGGTAAGAGCTTCACCAAAACAGCCTACTGAGAACTGAGCATGCTCAGTACCCATGGAAGACTATCGTGAGTGGTAAATGAAGTCAACCTGTACAGAGGAGAGATGGAAACAGGCAACGTGGAAGACAGTATGCCTGATTACCTGGTACTTTGTTGTAGGTCCCATTTACAAGACTGCTTAACAAAGTCTCCCGTACCTGTCTGATGTTATCCTGGCAATGCAATTCTGCTGGTGTGCTTATTTGCAATGTATTTACACTGTGTTGCATGATGCTCTCTTTTAAATAAGCATGAATAGGATTGCTATTATCAACATGCCCAATTCACTTTCAGCATGATACTCGATATCCTGCAATGTTCTGCCAAGCAAATAGGTAACTTGAACAGACTTTACAACTTCCATTTTTGGACAAGCAGTGGACATATTGTACTTTACCATTCATTGTCATTCCTCCCTAGCCACCCCCATCTCTGGACTCTCTTTTAAGAAATAGTTGCTTAGGGAGAAGATGTTATCTGTACATGGATAATATTATTTTGCTATATCTGCAAAAGCAGCAAATACTGAAGATAAGGGCTCTGTAGTCCCATGGGATTTTTTTTTCTTTCAAAAATGTATCTGATTACTCAGATAGGATCTTTACTAACCTTGTTTAGTGCTGGTAAACCCACAAGAGATGAAGAGAGGTCCCGTTCTGATTTGACAGATTTTGCGCAGTAAGTTTCCAAAAGATTCAGGTCACAACTCCGGAAGCAGCACTCCTCCACAATGCCACGATTGAGTCTTCCTCTGTTTCTACCCACAGGCCTACCTGTTGACACAGAAGTTCAATTGAAAATAAGTGATGCCACGCATTTTAAGTATTTAAGATAGACAATGGATAAATAGATCAATATGTTTTGTCTCTTTCTTTTAAAATCAGCAGCACCCACATGGTCCATTTAGAGCTTTGCAAATTCCACATTTGATGGTAAGGTAGCAGGAGTGCAGAAATGAATCAAACTGCTCTTGGTTTACCCAATTTGCAACTCACCAAACCAAATGGTCCAAATGTCCTTAAATTTAAGAACATTTGCAATTTTCAATTACAACCGGTGCCATTGCGCTATTATTTTCATCTATACCAATCAACTAATGATGTAAATTATTTCCAACCCATAAATAAGATGCCAGGTTGGGAAAGAATACAATTCACTCGGAGCTGGTATAGAATAAATTTTATTTCACTTGTTAGTACAAGCCTTGTTTAGATTTTTAAAAACCCAGATAACTGGCAACTACTTCTGTTTCATGCTAATGTATCACTCATCAAATTATTTGAAAGGAGATATTTAGCTCTACCTTAAATATTTTACTTATATGTGACAATATGCATAGTTCAGATCCAATTTGGTTGTTTTCTTACAAACATTTGTTAGCATGCTAGGATAATCAGTACAAGACAAAGTAGGATCGCTGACTGTTTGTGTATATAATGCCCCCACCACCATCGTTAGGGTACTGTTTCTTCCCCGGTTGTTTATCTGATGCTACTTCCTTTTAATCTGGGTGATAGGTGCTGCAGGGATTGTATTCTAAACTGTTTGTTCCTTCAAACAACTACAACACAGCCTCTCCATCTATGAAGAGGCAAAATTACTGTCATTGCCCCATTTTTTTTTCTGACCCCACTGTTTTGGTCTGGTCAATTTTCAAGCCACTACTGTATGTGTTGCAATGGTGGAACAGAAAGTTTCATGGAAGTTCCTTTAAATAAGACAGTCCAGAAAAATCTTGATTCAGAACTCTAGTTTGAAAATAGGGTTTTTAATAAATTTAAGGTAAGCTAAGCTTACTGAACTCAGTAATTTAAAAGCAAGTTTATTTGAATGCGAGTAATCAAAACAAGGTTTGGGATACATAATCCAGGAGAAAAATGTATGAAATGCCAATCTGCTTTCTGTTAGTCACAGCTCTATCTTTTTATGATGAAAACAAACTCCTTTACTCATCTGTGATTTTTTTTTTCTTGCTAAGTTATTCCCCAAGTATACGCTATTTGTTAGCAACTGGACAGCTTTCACTATCCACTTCAAAACAGCTGGCAATTTGATGTGTGATCTTCTTCTAAAAAGAAACAAACAAACAAAACCTATGTTCTAAATTATATGCTACTCTCCTGAAAGAAAATACAATTCTATTTAAAAACAGGAACAAATGCTCAGCTGAGAGCTGTGTTTTTTCCAGAATGCTGATAAATGCCTTCATAGGCAAACTGTGAGATGTTGTTGCTAACAAAAGGTAAACTGACAAGGAAATTTTACATAGACCACCATTATGTAATATTTTTTAGTAGTAGTAGTAGTAGTAGTATAACAACTTCTCATCCTTATAATTAGAGATAGTAACTGAAACAAAGAAGAGAGTGATCATCATAACACCTTAACCAGAATCTTCTGGTTCTCTCCTGATATGCACTATACTATTGATTAAATATATTGCTGCCTTTGGGATTTGCACAAACATTGTTTTTTGCTAGTTCCTGTTGCACAATGACAACTTTTTTTTCCTTTTGAAGAGATGTCATGGATCTCCTCACAAGTAGCCCCCCTAACTAGATACTGCCGAGAATCAGAGCTGATAATAAGTCTCATGTTTATTTATCAGTGTCTAATAAACACTGTTATCCTCTAAGCGGAAACGGCATTGGTCACATTGGTGAATGATCTCTGGAGGGCCCGGGACAGGGGTTATTCCTCTGTCCTAGTTCTTTTGGACCTCTCAGCGGCTTTTGATACGGTGGACCACGGTATCATGCTGCGGCGTCTGGTGGGGTTGGGAGTGGGAGGCACCGTTATACGTTGGTTCTCCTCCTTCCTCACCGACCGCACGCAGTCTGTATTGGCAGGGGGACAGAGGTCGACCCCAAGGCCCCTAACTTGTGGGGTGCCACAAGGGTCGGTCCTCTCCCCCTTATTGTTCAATATTTATGTGAAGCCGCTGGGGGGAGATCATCCGTGGCTTTGGGGTGGATTTCCATCAGTACGCTGATGATACTCAGCTGTACATCTCCACCCCAGGCCACCCCAATGATGCCCTTGACGTGATGGCCCGGTGCCTGGAGGCCGTACGGGTCTGGATGGGGAGAAACAGACTCAGGCTCAACCCTTCCAAGACTGAGTGGCTGTGGTTGCCGGCTCCC